TTGCCTTGATCTCCATAGGGTTTTGTTTTTCTCTTTCTTCTTTTCCAAGTTGAGCACTTGATCATCATCACATGTGTCCATCTCATCATTTCATGTGATCATCACCATCACTTGAGTGCCACCATGCTCCACACTTGGATTGCACCAACCTAGCTCATATCACAACTCATGACAAATGTTAGTGCATATGTTTCATCAATTATCCAAAACCAAACTAGGGCTTTCAAGCGCGTGCAACCATGTGTAGAACATGATGTGGTTAAGATGCTAAACACTACATATCAATTCCATTCATTGTCTCATAGTCATGGGCCTCTTCATCATTGTGTTGCATATTTTCTTTTTATTTGTGAGAATAGAACTAATGTTTCTTGTTCTTTGGATTTTGACGGATGAGAACTACTAATGTTCCTTGTCCTTTGTATTTTGTGATATGAGAACAACATTTGTTTTGAGAAATTGACACTAAAATATTTGCTTCTTGTGTCGTATCCTCTTCTAACTATAATTTTATTATGGGATGGGGATTTCGGTGGGGGTTAATTACCCACCGGGGGACCAGGATGGGGAAAAAAGTGTCCCCATGAATATGCCATGAACACGGAATCCTCCCCTGAAGACGGGGATGGGAAGCCATCCCCTGATAGAGAATTCCCCGTTGTCATCTCTAATACCCTTCATATTGTCCTGTAGTGCACATATGATATAGTCCATATATCGTCAATGATCATAATATACCCACAAAAATATGAAAAAAATATAAGGTTGCTTCATCGATGCATGAATCTACAACAACATGCTCAGCATAAGTCTTGGTGCAAGATGGTGAGTTTAGATCAATTAAATCAATTCAAGAAGTAGAGCCATCCTTTTGAATTATGTCAAAGAGAGAAATCTTTTTAGGTGATTTTTGAGGTACTTGTACTAGCTTCTATAGTTTTTTTTTAAAATTTGTTAGCTAGCTCAACATTATAATCCGTAAATGCGTCAATTTTTCTTGCAAGTTCATCATAACTTTTAATCGAGCTAACTATCTTTTGTTCCAAGTTTTGATTTTTGCTTGGTGCTTAGTGCAAGTTTCTTGAAATTGTTTGACCAAGTTAGCAAGATCTTCATTGGAAGGAGGGAGTCACTATGACTTCATCGTTCTTGCTTTCAACTATATTTCTTGCCATGAGACATATGTGCGAAGAGCTTGATGATAACTTGTGGTGGAGCCTCCTATGATGGGCTTCTTCCTCACTTGAAGAGTCATCCCATGCATTCACATTTGTAAGGCATTGACCAACTTTTCCTTTCCTTCCATTCTTATTGTTCTTTAGCTTGGGTTTGTTTGGACAATCCTCCACAAAGTGCTAAATCTCACCACAACCAAAGCAACCCTTCTTCATTTGTGTGTTTTCTTTGGTTGGTGAACATGATGTCTTTAATTGTGATGGGCACGTTCTTGGACTAGATCTTGTAATCATCTTCTTCACTCCTCTAATTAATTTCATCACTACTTCTTCATCATCGGACGATTATCTTCCTCCTTCTCATCTTCTCCCTCACTTGAACATGAGCTTGATTCAACCTCTTAACCTTCTTATGTCCATCACACGAGAGGGCGATGTTTTGCTTGCTTGATGAAGATGCTTTTTTATCCATCTTCCTTGATATTTCAAATGCCACAATCTTCCTGATGGCAATGGCAAGATCATTGTGCTCAAATCTTCTTGAGAAGACAGAACTAGAGCCCTTTTAGCTCTACCAAAGAGGCCATTAGAAGCACTACATAGGACATGCCATCTTATACAAGCGATCGAAATCATCGTGACTATTTCTCGTGGATGATGATAATGGTGGTAGATGTGAAATAAGATCTGTCAGCTAGCTAGGTAAACCTAAGTAACAAGCTAACCCTGGCGGAGTGGGCCTAATGGAGCTACATGTTCACGAGACTATCTAGGACAAAAGAAAGAGAAAGTGGAAAGAAAGATAAACCCGCAGTCGTATCCATTATCATCACATAGCAAATAACTGATTAGACTATTACTTGTGGACAATGATGATAGTGGTGGATGTGAAATGAAACGTAAACCTAAACGACAACCCTGGTGCGGTGGAGCTCAACCAAGGAAAAAAGAAGAGAGTGAAAAGAAAGACAAATCTATAGCCGCATCTGTTGATATCACGTAGTCTTATATAAATGATCAAAATTATTCGAACTGTTACTTGTGGTCGATGGTAATGGTTGTGGATACGAAAATTAAAATGAAATTCGTCGGTACAAAACTGTAAGTAGCTACCTATGCAACATCCAGCACCGAAGGAAAGGAAAGGGTAAGTGAAAGAAACGCAGACCCACACAGCCGCACCCGTCCGATCCACATCCCGAGCCAGCCGCCTACTCTCGCCTAGAGGACCCAAAAAAAAAACCCGAAGCCGAAAAGGAAAAATCCTCGCCGCCGTCCCTCACCACGGCGACGCCCACCGCGACCTCGCCCCCGACGTTGCCGACGGCGCCCACCATGTCGGCGTACTCCCCCGTCCCCACGCTGCGGCCCGACGAGCGGTCCGACTTCCTCTCGCTGCTCGCCGCCGCCGCCCGCCCGCTCGCCGACGTCGTCGCCGACTTCCTCGCGCGGTTCCCCCGCGAGCGCCGCCTCCGCGTCGGTGGCGCCCTCTCCTTCCTCCTCGAGGCAAGCCACGCCACGCCACGCCTGCGCCCTTGCCTCTCCCCCGCTCCCTGAGCCTCCCTCCAGCTTTTCTCTTGCTTGCTTTCCTTTCATCAGATTGGGCGGGGGGCTTTGGCGGCGAGAAGCGGATCGGGGGCTAGCTTGAGTTGGTTGGGTTAGGGTTTGTGCTGGCTTACTCAGATTTGGTGGGTTTTGCTTTCTTGCGCCGGTTTGGGGGCACTGCTTTAGCTGGGATTGACGCGCGAATCGGGATGAGTTAGGCTACTGCATTTTTGCGATTTCACTTTCTGATTGCGGCTTAGGCTTCGGATGGAGTTTCGGATGGTTCGATGTAGCTGACATTTCTGGGGTTTTGGAGACCATTGACTCACCATCTTTCGGTTTTCCTGGGATGCTTTCTGAATTTTGAATCTTTTGACCTGGAATGGATGGATCGCTGGACATGTAGATTTAGGGCCATTTCTTCAGTCTTTCTTAGTTTGAGACTAAGTTCTTTGTGTTTGTGTGTGGCTTCGTGGGGTTAGCTCGATCATGTTTGTTTGGATTTGCACTCGGTGAGAATTTCATAGCCATTGGATTCTTGACCTTGAATTCTTGCTGTAGCTGCTCTTTATCACTGAGGTTTAGGGTTGTAGTTCATGGTAAACTCAAACCAAACTTCAGTAATGCGTGATTTATCACTTGTAGAATATCATCAGATCAAAAAACGTATAGAACTTGGTCTAAACTCCTTTTCCATACTCCCATATAGCACAATGAGCATTCCTAGCTTTAGTGACATCAATAGTGTGTGCAAGAGGACGCATAACACTTCTGGCTTTGAGGATTCACTTGTGTGTTAGTATTGATTAAATGGATCATCACCATATTGAACGTGCTTCTATTGGTTCATGCAATCTGAAAGCAGAATCTATATAATTTTCTTATTTCTTGTTGGAGTAAATAATGCCAAACTGCTGGTGCAAGTATGGCCTATTTCAGTTTGATCTACCACTGTCTGGTTATAGAATTAAGGAAAGGCTAGCATATTTGGTTCATGTGTCAATTTTTTTAAGAACGATGTGCAACCTTGGTAGTGCATGAAAAGCAATTTGAAGTTTACACATAGGCTTTGATTTTGTTCTTTAATTGTACCATTTCAAAAGACCTTTCACCCTTGAAGAAACATTTAACCAATCATCTACAGTTCTTTTTATGCCCCTTTGCAAAAAAAAAAAAAGGTTTGTAACTTGATTGTTCTTCTCTTCGAAGGCTCAATAGTTTTGAGAGGAACCATATTTTCCTTACAGGACATGACAAATTTCTCCTTTAACCATGCTGCAACAAAAAATATTTAGGGGTGAAATGAAGAATACTGCAGTTAGAGTTGTATTGATGTTCCTCTAATTGGTGGCATGCTATAGCTAATTTAGTGGGTTACAACAGCGCTGAAAGTTTTGGGCTGTTTATTGCTGCAGAACCTTTCATGTACTGACACTCCCCCCTGCCTGGTACGCCGTCCTGTAGGAGACAATGCACAGCACTAGTGACTTCTGAACCAAATTATGCTGTGACAATAGTAGTTGGTGTTTTCACATGCATTCTCCTTAATAACTTCATATTTGCACCTCACAACAATTTTTTAGGGATACTATTCACCTACCTTTAGTTCATTTTGTAAGTTGGGTCTGTTATGTTCACTATGAGATTCTAGATTCATATTTGCTTTCACCGGAATAGTGCTACAAATCTGATATATTATGTTGCCCTTTGATTAGGACAAGAAGATGCTTCATCCTACTGGCCGTTTAATTGCATTTGCAATTCTTCATCAGAGCTATTCACGCAGAGACGGCAAATCCATATATTCCTATATTGTTAAATGTAAGTGGTAAACCTTGTTGTTTCAATTCTGTGATTTGGTTTATGATGGAAGAATTCACATTTTTCTATTCAGCATACTTAAACAAATCAATGTGCAAAATTGCAATATTCTTCCATATGTTTCATGCTTGACTCGACTGGACTATATTTTACATTTCTCCAACTCCCACATCTAGACTATGGCACTGGTACCAAACACACATTCTGATCTAGTACCGAAGTTCGTGTGTGAGGGCATTCTTCTTTCAGGAGATACTTATGTGGATCAAAAGTTTAGTCGTCTACATTATTCTGATGGGGAATTGGTCTCTTGAAAAATTCTGCCTTTTATTGTACATCGTCTTTCTTTTACAAAACCTTCAGCTCCCATTTGGCCAAGACTTTGTCTTTATATTCTAGCATATATAAGCTGGATCTTTGCATTATGTGCTACCCACTTGACAATCTAGGGTCCACACAATGGGTTTCTTATTTTATGTTGACCTCCAAGCTCTATCATTGGAATCTGTTTTTGTTATTGTAAACTTAGGGTCTTATTTGATTTGTGCTTTAGCTGAATCAAACAGCTGAACCTTGGAGCCTTGTATATTAGGTTTCTGTAGCTTTATGAATAGTATAAATAACCGTTTTCTTAATATCTATCCATTTTTGAATCAATTGGATCTGTCAATGTTGCCCCTATTATATTTCTTGAATTGTAACAGCAATTTCTTAGCACCATTAATTTTTAAAGATTAATTAAGGTCAGTTCACATTTTGAATGCATTTCTGTTCAAATCAATCATGTATTCCTCATTTACTGCTCTGTGCTAGAGAGCTACTGTTTATAGCTTTGATTACTACTTATTTATAGCATCTGAGTCCTTGTCTCTTTCAATTGTGGTTTTAGTGGCGCAGAAACATAGCTGATTACTTTCTTTAATCATTTAGCATCATGTTGAAAAATCGAACATTCAACATGTTTTGCTACTTTTCTATGGTTCTTGAGATGTAATTGTTGCAACGTCTTTTGAATGGACTAAATATTTTTCATGCTTGATACCTTAGTTTCATGTGTTGATATCTACAGGCAGCGTGTGATGAAACGTCAGAGAAATCAGAACGGGCATTTGTCCAATTATTATTGACTTCATCTAGTGGAAACAATAATAACGAGGTCTTTTCTCTTTCTTTGACTTTTAAATACGAGTCAACATTTAGTGTGGCATAGAATGACAATATTCTAGGGATTATGTTCTCCTTTCCTATGCTGACATGCATCTATTGATTAAGGGTCATTAGACATCGCTACCGTGAAATTTTAGATAATATGCAATCAACAGCTTGGACATTGTTTTTTCATTTATTGATTCTGAGAAAGGAACCTGCAAAATGTGTATTTAGTTAATTTCTGTGGTGATTTTTGTTTTTCAGGTCCTGAATCAGTCTGCGGTAGATTACATAAATGGATCTGTTTCAGCATGTCAGGTGGGCTTTTGATTAGGTAAACAACTTTTTATGTTTTGGTCGAGTATGATTATTCATATGTTTGTCTATTTGTATAGGATTTTTTGCCTCGGGAACAACTTGAGAAGCAATATTGCAGTACTAGTGTAAATTGCAGGCCTCAGATTAGTAGTTTCAGAGCTGCTATGGTTAGAAGTGCTATACCAGATCCAGACGTGCCTCAAAGTTGTGCAAATTCATCAGAGTATGTAGGCTCATGTACACCCCCTTATCTAAATTGATATTTCTTGTGAGGTCCTTGGATTTCATTTGTCCAATTTCTTCTCCTTTATTTATTTCTTTCGTAACCTTATAAGGTCTTCGATATCACCACCTGGAAGCAAACAGAAATCTGCTTCTGATGATAGAGATACTACTATTGCTGTTTTACTCCAAGACAAATCGGGGGGAAGGTTGGGTCCGCAATGGATTCGGCCCACACCCCCAAGACTTCCTGTACTTGATGGGGAGGTAAAATTACTCAGTCAGAAGTTGCATTTTAATACCAGTTCCGTCTCTAAATATAACTTCTATTGTGATGAACATACAGCTACAATGGTTGAACCCTGACAATAACCACGAGCTATTATGGGATTATAGCATGTGTACTGACACGAGTCGAGGGGCTGCTATCCGAGATTTGATTGCAAGAGCCTTAAAAGGTCCACTTGCACCTGCCCAACAGGAGGTTCACTGCTACATTCTAATATTTCTTCAAGATAATGATGACTGTTTTTATCAAATTGCTTGTTCTATGACTAGGATTTCTTTTCCTCTTGTTTCCTTATGATAATTTTATAGCCTCATTGCTGGATAAATTTATGGCACCTAGGTTTTATCACCCTTTTTTTCTCAGACATTCTTTGGTACATAAGAGGTTCCAATGGTACATGCCTAATTTGTTCACAGTTTCTTGCAGCAAGTCATAGTAGAACTGACAAAGGATCCTAAACTGGTTTATTACTGTGGGATGACCCCACAGAAGCTTCCTGTACGTGTACTCTATGAACTGAGTCTCACATATTTAACGCCATTTGATCTTGGAGTTCTGAATCTATGCATGGTTTCAGGATCTTGTTGAACATAACCCGCTCATTGCTGTTGAGGTTCTTTCGAAGCTAATTCACTCTCCTGACATTCCTGGGTGTGTCTCTTTTCTTTGTTTTATGTTCTATTATCATATAGGCAGCCTTCTTCCTGCCCTTTATTTGACCGATGATCCTTTTTTTGTAGTTACTTTGATGTTCTTGTGCACATGGAAATGAGCCTGCATTCTATGGAAGTTGTGAACAGACTTACTACTGCTGTTGACCTTCCAACAGAGTTTGTCCATGAGTACATCACAAATTGTATCCAATCATGTCAAAACATAAAGGTTTGTTCTTTGTTTGATTCATTTTGGTTGAAGGTTTTTTTAAGCCTCTCATCTGGGTACAGCTGTAGCATCTGTTCATGCACGAACGCACGCCCACGCTACCCACACACACCACACTCACACCACACGTGCACAACTAGACCTACAACTGCACACAGATCAGTAGACCAAGTCCTTCCAGAGATCACCGGGACCAGCCATGGTTCAGTAGGCGACGGCGTGTTGCAATCCCTTTTTGTCTCCATGCGAGAGAGGTTGCAGACATTATTGGGAGCAAGTCCCGGCGAGCGATGCGAGTGCGATTCCTGGGAATCGAACTCGCGCCGGCAGCATGCACACTGGCAACGTTAGCCACCCGAGCACTAGCTCAGTTCATTTCGATTGAAGTTGATCAAGAAGTATTCTTCACCATTTTTGTGTAATATCACATCTTAGTTGAAGTTAATGTTTAAATAATTTGGGTTTTAATATCTTGTAATTAGCAGATATGTTCTAGCAGGGGCAACTTAATCTTGACTGCATTCCCTATGGGAATGTGAGACCACTAATGCATGTGCTTAAATTACAAGGCCCATGGCGAATCTGGGGATGATAAGTGCTTTTATCATTAGCCTTGGGGATCACTAGTGATGTGGGTGATTATGGTGCTGTTATGTGTTTTGCATTATTCCAAAAGAAATGCCCTATGGTTTATAGAACGTTGTGCTTTACTCCTTTAATTTCTGCACTTGGTGTTTTGCTTATCGGTTAATTTGGGATTTCTCGTGTTAATGTGCGGTATACTGATATATGTTTATCTGAATGATACTTATTTTTTGTGCAGGATAAATACATGCAAAACAGACTTGTGAGACTAGTTTGTGTTTTCCTGCAGAGTCTTATCCGAAACAAGATTATAAACGGTGAGTTGCTCATGCTTAGCAAAGGTCTGCTTTGCATACTGTTGCTGAAATGTCGTAACTTCTGCCATCTCAATCGAAAATAATCAGCTCTCAAAGATTAGATTTTCATATTCCTGCTTTCTGCCTCGAGTATAATATCCAATTGTACACCTTGACTTTAGTACTTTACACCCTGTGCACCTTTCATATTCTTGATTCTGCCATCTCAATTGTATGGTTTGCTCACTTCTGTAGGCTAGTTGCTTATTACTTATCTTGCATTTCATTCCCTGATGCATTTTTAAGGTAAAATTCAAATGCTCTTAAGCTACTTGTTGTCATATGTGGTTAGAACATTCTGATCTCTACTTTGATTTGATATCCTATGCATATACATGTGTAACACTTTAGCCATTTTCTTGTTTGGTTCTTGTTGCTCCCTTTTTGCTTGGATATATTGCAATGTCTATTTCTATGGTCTGAAAACTGAGACAATATAGTCTCTCAGGTCTGGAGGTGCTGTTTGACAATAACCATGAACGCATTATGTATTTATTTATAACTGATCTTGTAGTTTCCAGCTAATATAGTTACATGTAGACATTGTTATTCATAAAACAATCAGTGTCTTATGTGCAATACCATTGATAGCTGCCCTGGTACAATTTGAATCTCACGAAGTTAATTGTATTCTTTTCAAATTTCCTTGTTTTCTTGTAGGCTTGTAAATTGTTGAAATGCTAGTCCACGAGTTAAGGTTTTCCCACCCTTTTCCGAGTGGACAAGGCAGATAATTTTGTGCATTTTTATTTGGGTGCAGTTCAAGATCTTTTCATTGAGGTACAAGCGTTCTGTATTGAATTTTCACGGATAAGGAAGCAGCCGGTCTATTCCGGCTACTCAAATCGTTGGAATGAAAGAATTTGTATGTTTTTACTTACCTTCTCTGTACCATACTGCATCTTTTTCCTAATTATGTATGTACATCTTCATTGTCATGGTTCAGTCAAATGCCTCAAGGGCATTGGATGCGATCATGTGCTGTATTGAAATTTTCCATGGAACCACTTTTGGAACTTTATGGGCTGTGGTAGTATGATGTGATAGAAACGTCCTGATTGTTTAAAATTCCAATTGTCAGATAGACTGATTGTATCGACATCGAAAGTTTGAAGTTTGCCTGTTCTGGTAGTTCTCTGGTCACAACTGGGTGTTCAAGATCGGTCGGTATGTTACGTGCACCATCTCTCACTTGCAGAGTCTTTGGAATGAAAGTGCATACCCTTCAAAGAGTGGCTAGAGCAGTCGGCCAGTCAGATAACACATGTGTTAATTGTTGGTGCATGTTTAGATCAGCTTGTACTTTGTAGGCTCATTTGTATGGAAACGAATAATACGTGCATGTTTTGATCTAGTCATATTTGCTATGTAACCTAAACAACGCTTCAATCTGTTTTATTGTCAGTCTTTCTCGCCTGGTGCGCGGTATCTGGATGATTTTTCCACAATTGGTTTATCGTTTCTGTTTAAACCACATCAGGTTGTCAGTCTTTCTCATCAAACTTGCCTGTGTTATAATGATAGCAGTATCTACTTTCCCCTCCAACACAGCTTGAATAGCATCTTTGTAAGAGTTACAGCTCACAAGGCAGGTTGGTTTTATATAGACAAAATGTCAAGAAACTCTCCACTCAATTCTGTAAACAGTGCTTTCGTTTCTTTTTCGAAGGATGATATTGGTGGCAAAAAAGAAAGAATAAACTACACAGGTGAATGGAATGGATTCATAGTTCATCTCGTATTGGATAAGTTTGTTAGGTAGTGTGAGTGGGATGACGCACGATCTGGTTTTAGATGGCGACCCATGCTGAACCATAGATCCTTCCGCAGGCTGCAGCAAGAGAACCTACATCTACTAATTACTTTTTTTTTCTGTTCATTCATTATAACCGGAGCTTATCCATGACACAAAAACAAATCTCTGGTTCTATGTTTTTTTTCCGAATACACAAAAAATTTGCATATCATTCCATTAAGATCGAGAAGAGTGCGAAGTTACAACGACGAGCCATTGCAATGGCGCCCTAGGGACGGTGAAATGATTTACAATAATCACTGCCCTCTCTAGCATACGTAATGATTTACTCACGAATTAAGCTACCTAGCCTCGTGCTAGGGATGGTTCTCTGGTGTGTTTGGATCCAGGGACTATCGGACATCAGCCAGCGAGCATTCTCCTTTCACAAAAGCTGAGCTATGAATCTCACGATTTCATGGCCGGTATTGAGCGTTTTTTTTTTTTTGACAACAGCCGGTATTGAGCGTTGACCGTGGTTTTGTCCAGGCGCCGGGCTGAAGATGACGTGGACATTGAAATTGCCTTGAGACTGTTCAGCGAAGAGTTGCACCGGTGACAGAGGGCGGCGTTGACGTACACGACCTCTCGCTGCTGTACCGTCGCCATGGCACATGATGCGACGCGGCCTGCGCTGCTACACACAATAGCTAGCTAATTGATCGCACGATCATAAATCAGGAGAAGGCACGCTTAAAGAATTGCAAGACACATGATGAACAAAATGAAAGTAGTAGCTAATCGCCGGCTCGTCTCGATCGATGCACGTATCTATATTGCCAGCTAAATCATCAAGGCGGCAGGTACATACAATTGTACAAATACTAATCACGCGCGCGTCACGACGAGGCCGCCGCCGCCGCCGGAAGAAGTCGTCGTCGTCGCCGGCGCCACCATCATCATAGCCGCGGCAGCGCGGGCTCTCGGCGAAGTCGTCGAGCGGGAACGAGGTGGCGACGGGGCCGACGTAGAAGCTGAGCGTGTCGCCCGCGCGGTCCACCTCGCCGACGCCGAGCCACAAGAAGAGCACCTTCACGCTGATCCCGTCCAGCGCCATGAGCGACCCGGCCGCGACGGAGCCCCGTACGCGGGGCTCGTACCGGACCAGCCACGTCCCCGCCAGCAGGAACTCGCAGGGCCGCGGGAAGTACACCTCGAAGCTGCCGTCCCCGCGGAGCTCGTACCCGGACACGCCCGCCGGCAGGATGCCCCGCGGGAAGTCGTACCGCTCCAGCATCTCGTACGCCGTCGGCGATGACGTCGCGGTGGTCGCGTTGCCGCCGCAGCCGGACGCCTCGGTGGCTGCTGCTGCGGCGGCCGTGGCCGCCAGCAGCAGGAGCAGCACGAGAGGGTAGCTGCTGGTGCTGCTGGCCATGGAGGAGCAGAGCACGTGGGTGGAGTGGCTGCTGTGGCTCCTCCGACGATTCCGAGCTGGCGGCTAGTTTGCTTACTTGTCCTTTGGAAATTGGAATGGCTTTGTAAGTTGCAATTGGATGGATCCATGTGTGCTTATATATTCTTTATATCCGTAAAATAATAAAACTCCTCGGCATGTTTTTATTTAATTTGGGCATAATTTGACTGAGCGTATAATAAAAATGTTTTGTTTCAAGCAAGAATGCCTAATTAATTAGCTGATGAGGTTGATGTAATTGACCGATCATAGGAGAAGTTGTACTTGTCACATTATGAGACTTTATAGGCTATAGCAGTTGGCCACCTTCTGTTTTTTTTTTTTCCTGTTTTTTTGTTCCTTGGGTGCGTTGGCGTCTGGGCCTTGCTGGCTGCTCGCCATCTTGCCAGTCGTGGTTGTACTCAACTCTTACTTCTCTTAATGAAATACACGCCGCGTTCTCTAAAAAAAATAACAGTTGGCCACTGGGGAGTCGCTGTCTTCTTCCGATTAATTGACGTACGGCACACGGTGGTTGTCTTTGATTCGACTATGCATTTTGTCGCCCAGGGTACCCAACATGAAATGCATTATTGTGAAATAGGAAAGCTCATTAAGAAAATTCAGAGAGTTGTACAATACATTATTTGAGTTCAGTAAACCACCTTTGACCATAGGTTTTCTAACCTTTCTCGTGTGGTAGGGGTCAGACCGTCAGAGCATTCTTTTCTTTTTCTTTTTTTTGCGAGGAGAGCCTTCATTATTCATATATACAAACATAGGTGTTCCTTACTCTATTTCATTTTGTAATTAAGGAGCTCACGTAGTTAAAGAGTAAACCTCCTAATGTTCAATTCACAAGGTTAATGGAATCCCATGGTTCCCCAAAAAAAAAAAACAATTAGCCTCAAAAGTGGTATCATTGGATTCCATTCAAAAGTTCTATCTTATGTTTTTTATTCTATCTGTCGCTACGGATATTTTTTTGCAATATAATAGAAATTATAAGCACGTCTGGTTTTCAAGCCCTTGCAGAGTCGAACAAAGATTTATATATTGAAACGGAGGAAGTATAATTTTAAAATTGACATGATGGTGCACTCCCTTTCATCTAGGATGCACTTGCTTATGTGTTCAGGAGGGGAAGGCATGCATGTTGCGTTTAGGGGGTGCAAATACACACAAAAAAAAATGCAATGAGTTTGATTAAAAATTTCTGCCATATGCCCATATATGCGCCTTATGATATGTATCTATACACGCACAAAGTAAACACACATCTATCTAATTTGCTCTAACTTTGTCATTATATATGTTTATTACCGGCAAATCACGTAATAATGCATCTTTCATGCTCAATGATAAATGTTTTAGAGCTAATTTTTTTTGACATGGACCAAAGTTAGAGTGGGCCAGAGGTATGGAAGTGGATATATATATATATATATGGGGAATCCATCCATTTGCAAGGTTGGAACATTTGAGACAAGGACATCAAATTTATTTTAGAAGCACACCAAACAAACATCGTCCTTGAACGGCATCCATCAGCTAATTAATAAATTACTAAAATGATTTTGTTAAAGCCGCGACGAACTAAATCGATGAATGGTTGGTCGCCCAAAAACATGACGCCGCCGCCGACTAATCAGAGTTGAAAATTCAAAAGGCCGACGCGAGGGAATGGATGTGGCACGCACGGCGGCGCGGAGGAGATATTCCAAGACCGGCAGAAAGATTCTCTCGCTTCCATCCAAGATGCTGTAGCAGTAGTTCTTTTTCCGTTTGGCTCGAGCCTTGTTTAAATATAGGGCAAAGTTTTGAGGGTGTCATATATGAGGATGTTGCTTGGGGTGCTTTGGATACTAATAAAAAATAAATTACGTAATCCGTCAAGAATCAACGAGACAAATTTATTAAAACAATTAATATGTCAAGATATGTGTGTGTGTGTAGCAAAATCATGGACTAAATATGCTTAAAAGATTTGGCTCAGAAATTAGTTGCAAACTATGTAATTAGTTATTTTTTTAGTCTATGTGTCCGAACATTTGATAGAATATGGAGTAAACTTTAAGAGGAGAAACTAAACAAAGTCTCAGATTGGGTAATAATTTCTTGGTAGGCCCAGATGAGCTTGCTCGTCACGTCAAGTGTCGTCTTCCCTTTTGTGAAGCAAAATGGTATAGGTGTTGGGCGCAGCCGTCTAGTTTGGGTTGCCTGTATATTCAATATCTCTATAGATCCTCGATTGAGGGTAACATGCATTTTATTTGCCCTTTTTATCTTCTTATATTAGGTTGGTTGTGCTTGTGCACCACTAAGGCCCTGTTTAGAAGTCTTTTCACATGTAATTGCATTACACCTGTGATTTTCTTGTGCACAAGAAAACCTCTGGAATATTGGGTATTATTTCCCAAAGGAAAGCTGTTGTTTGGGTAAGCAGTATACTGACTATTTGCTTTGAGCTAACGAATCGATTACCATTGCATCACAATAAGCATGAGCATTGCACAAATGGTGAAATTTGAAAACATGGCACTGAATTGGAGCAACCTGCTGAATAGATTTCAGATCAACACTCAAATTTGAGTCCAAAATTTCATATTAAAGCATTAACGGGCTACTTGGTTATCAAATGGCAAACATTATACACAGTCAACCACCACCAATTTGTATGCCAAATAATTGCAACTGAAACAAAACCATGCATGGTACACAGGAATAGGACTAATTATCCAACCAAATTAAACGAAGCAATCAGATTTGGAGATGGAGAACAAGGCAGACAGGCAGTACGCATCCAAACAGCTTTTTTAAGAGTAGGGTGAAAATTTTCCAAACCTGTATTTTACAAGGGTTTTGACATGAAAACTTGTCTTCCAAACATGCTCTAAGGCTAACGAATCCAAATCTTTTGCTGCTACTTAAGTGCAGGAGTAGGCAGTACAGTACTAGCGTTTACCAAAAAGGGCCAGCTCGTGGCATCAGATAGCCGACTCAGCACCGGAGCACACTACCCTAGTTAGGCCCCATTTGGCCGGGCTCCTGCGTGCTCCGGCTCCTACACTATAGTGACACTGTAGCCGAAGCCGGAGGAGCCAAAAAAATGAGCTTCTCCCCCTTAGAACGGCTCTGTGAGAGAGGAAATGAAGAGAGAAAACCGACTCTGATAAACAGTGTCCACACATGATGTGAACAGTGCACAGCAGAGGGAGCCGGAGCCGGAGCTGCACCAAAGGGGGCCTTAGATTAGATGATCTTCAACCGTGAATAAAATGCTCTTCAGCCAGAGCATCCGCGCAGCCTCTGCCAACGACGTTATGCCATCTGGCGCTTTTTTACTATCGACCGTCGGTTAGTTTGGTCTTGGCCACGCACGGTTCGTTTCGCGCGCGCTGCGACTGGACTGCCCACCAGTCCGGTATAAACAAATCGACCAACTCAGGCTTTGCCACGTCATCATGTCTCCCTCGCTCCCTCCGTCGCCTCGCCCTGGATCCGCGCCAACATCGCCCGCCTCCACCGCTCTCACCCGCTGCAGCGGGAACGTCACCCCCTTCCTTCCTGATACAGGGCTGGACTTGACGGCGGCTGCGTGCGCGAATCGAATATGGAGAGGCAGCCATGGCGTCCTCTCCCCCGGCGACAGCACCCGACAGATGCGGCGGCCGACTTTCATTTGCTGGCCGACACGCGACGACATTGTTGAGCTGAGGCGCTGACTGCCTTCCCCTTCATCAGAGTCGTCAGGATCTAGTGCGTTCATCCACAAAATGTTCCTCCTTTTCCCGATCCATTTTCTTTGAGCCTGTGATGCGAACTCGATCAATATGGTTGTCCTCTCCATCGGTTTCCAATCTCTCAATCCTTGCTTCTGTTCTCTGCGTCTGTGAGAATGAGGAGTTGTTGCCAGTGGAACTGCGCACGATGCAGTAACTATTTGGAGCACAGCTGATGCCTCTCATCCGATGTGGACCCACTGCTTCTCATGCATTCCACCGCGCTGGCACCAAGGGGGCGCATGGAGGGGTTGGGTGAGGGTATGGCTAGAGTATGAAGCACCCAATACTTGCCTGCAACCTGTTCGGTGGAATGCACATGAGCAGTAAACCACTGGAGCACCCGAGGTCATCATGTGGTATGTTTTTGGGTAAATAATTTCATTTTTCGGTTCAAAATTGTTGCTCCATCCTGTCTGAGTGCTTTCAAGTGCTTAGTCAGAAATAGATATGATCTTACCTATCACCAAGGGACAAAGGAGGGTGACATTTCAGGTTGTTCATTTTAACTATCATGCTATTTTGTTGGGGTTTTGCTATAAATATTCATGTCTCATAAAGATTAGGTAGTAAAGGTGAATTAACAATTTTAGCCGTCTTAGACCGCTCCTGCTGCCACCTTTTTATGCAGGTATGGCTTGACACAATTTTTTATGCAGGTTCTCTTCCTCCATCTTGCTTATTTGTACTTCCAAATTCCAAGAAAACCATCTGACCATGGAAGTAAAAATGGAACTCGCCGCCGTGCGGCCGGTGGCCCGGAACACCCTGCCTCTATATCGATCGGGAGCTAGGAGAGGCTCCAGTCAGGTATACCTCCAGCCCCAACTGCTTCTGCACTTTCTCGAAATAACAAAGAAGGTTCCTTTATAGATTATTCTTTGTCAACATATATAATTCAATGTGTCATCTACATCCAGCATCTAATGCAAGCTATTTCAATTCTGCTCAGCTGTGTTAGCCTCCATTAACATGGTTTTAGATCCTATGTTTGGTGTTTGATTTTTCAGGCCACCAAACTAATTTGGTAATAGCTGCTGCTGATCTGTAAAATATGCTGCACTGAATACATCTAGAATCTTAGTGACAACCTCAACAAGGCATTCTGGAACGGCAAGGACTGTTAGTGTCTAAATGGATGTAATATTCATGCTTCCTACTTGTGTTGTTACATTTTCAAACCACGGTGAAACACTACAT